AATCTATTCTCCAAGCCCACAGTGGCAAAAAGATTGAAATCATAGCAATAGTACTTGGAATTCCTAGTATTAGAGGTAGTGCAGCACGGGAGCTGCATGGCTGTAGGAACTGTTGCATCCCTGTCACTAGTGTTCAAGAGCAGTTCTGAAAAAATGTTAGGAATGAGCAAGATTTGATTGGTCTAGTCTCTGAGCAGGAGAATAAACCAGTATTGATGTTCTTAGTTGTGGTACACTGTTGTTATTCAAGCCACAAGACATCGGAAGGTGACATTTGTGTATCGCTCGTTACTATACATAAAACGGTAACAGCTTAAAAATGGCTATGTTTTAACTAAACGCGTACACGATATAGTTGCTTCAGATTTTACTATTTTACTTGGTTTATATAATTAGGCATTTTATTTATGAAGCCACCGATAAAAGAATACAGGGAAAGAGGGAAGACTCTCTCCACAGAAAACAGGAATTCAGACTTCAATAATGTATTGTCTTTAACTGAATAATCAATAGATTGATGGAGTGGGAGAAATGACTTGTCGACAGAAGTCATTAAAGTTTTGTATGCACAGGACATTTTTATGTTGAGTCAAGGCTTACGTGACTTGAATTCACTTGGCTGGAGTCTAGCTGTGGCTCCACCAGTGCTTCTCCACAGAGTACCCCAGAAGCACCAAAAAGTCTTAAGTCTAAATTACAAAACCTTTCTTAGAATGTAGGCTGGAAAGTTCCTTACTCTAGTGTAACTTTCTCTGTTTTATGACAGAGGTTATTTATTTACCAGCCCTTTTATCCACTGCTTTCTGACCAGCAGTTTGATAGTATCCTGAGTTGAAGCAAACTGTGCAGAGTGTTCACGGTCTCGTCTGGGTTCTGGGCAAGAGTCCTCTTCTGTTATCTCTGAAAGCTGGCTGAGAATCTGCTTTCCTTTTTTCTTAAATGTCTCTAACCACTTCTGTGGTGCTCTTTCTTCTTTGCATGCTCTCTCTTGACATCCTCGGTTCTGTAATGTCATTTCCTTGGGCATCCAGGACAAGAACAGTCTTCTCATCCCATCAAAGGGTTTGATCTGCTCCAGTCTGCCGCAAAGGCCAGACTAGGCAAACAGGGAGCCAGCCTCACCTTTTCAGGGGAAAAGATGTTGTAACATGCATGGAATGTCACTGGTCCTGCATGCGTGTGAGTTGGCAATGGAGCGCAAGACCTATTTTTTTCATCTTAGTTAAATAAGTTGGCAATGGAGCGCAAGACCTATTATTTAACTAAGATGAAAAAAATCTTAAAGTGGAGGTAGAGTTCGCTTTTAAGCTGGTTGTTTCACTTGTGCTAGCTAGCAGAATAAAAAATGAAGTTGCACCTTCCAGGTGTTTGGGCAGAACAGACTTGGAGAACACAACAATAGCCATCCTTGGTCAGAGCAAAGATTTATGTATGCTGGCCCTATCTCTGACCAACGGCAGATGTGGAAGGAGGAGCACAGCCGCTCTGCTAAATGCTGCAGCAATTGAGGTCCCTGTAGAGTTGATTTAGTTCAAGCTCAGAAACACAGTAAGATCAGTAACGCCAGCTTGGGTCCAGCGATGAAGCTAAGCTTATATACTGAAGCCTGGGAAAAATTGGTGCACAGATGCTCAAAAGGCTCTTCCAAAGTACGTTGTGTTTACCTGAACTTAGCCATGGGGCAGACTGGCTTTCCTCATTTCCCACATTTTCCGGTGAATTCCCTCCCGGCTTCCTAGCTTCTATTTGGTCAGAGAAGAGCAGAAAAAAGCGAAACTCGATGTGCTTGTATTTGCTCGGCTAGGGATCTAAATCTCTACTGAAAAGCTTACAGGAAAATGGGAAAAAAGTTGATGGCTTGTGTAGAATGCCTAATAAGGGAAAATCAATGGATAGTAAGGCTGAATCTTTAATTCTGAGGAATCTTTAGGTGTCTGGAGTGGTGGATGAGATTGTAGTAATAAACTTCCTGAATATTTTTTATACTTGTATATATTTATGATTTTTATTTTGTTTTTTCTGCCTTTTGGCATGTTGGAAGTGAAACTCAGAATTCTGCACAGGCAGAACCTGGTCCATCCTTGCGTAGCTGTGATCGCACGGGTGCAAAGCAACAGAAGCAGTACCTCGGGAAAGACATCATCTCGAGGATTTGAGGAGATAGCAGGACTACAGTCTTCCCTGAGATTTACTGTCACTAGGGAAACTCGAGTCTTTCTATACATATGTTTTTTTTCTCATCTGTGACTGAGTTCTTGAAGGTAGAATATTTGAATGATATAACCTACAAAAGCATAAATTATCTGTTGTCTCTTTCACGCCACTCCTTGTGCCTTATCTTAAGTGTCTGAATTCTGAGTAGCTAAGACAACAGGCTTTGTGCAAGAAGGCTCCAGTCCCTCTCCAGCGGGAAGCTGAAGCGTCTCTTTGGAGATGAGTCTTCCTGTGCAATTCAGTGATAGAGGCAATCATATCAATTTGTTAATTAAGGCTATTTTAGAGAGTAAATCCGATTAAAAAAAAAAAAAAAGTTGAAGCAGCTAAAAGGCTTACAGGACAGACTTTCTTTACAACTGAAAGTCTCCTTCGCGTTTTTACTCTCTTCCAAAAAGCATAGCCTTCGTATTAGTCCATGACTTATTGGAACAAGTCTGGTTATTAAATGCATATTCCTGTTCAAGCTGGTCTTAACATATTTAAGCGTTTAATTACTGACCTTACTGTGAAAGATGAAATGTTTTTGAGATGAGTATTTTTACAGCACTGTCTGAAGGATTTAGCGTGTGCAGTACGAGCTTCAGTGTGTATTTGTGCATGCATTTTAACCCTCCTTTTAATAATGCCTTTCACAAGCGTTACAGATTTGTTTAAAATCCTTAAGATAATTGCTTAAAAGAAAAAAAAAAAAAAGCCCACCTCCCTACTGTACTATATGATGCTTACTGCCAGGTGGAGCAAACTGGTTGTAAACGGGTAGGGCTGCTGCACAAACGTCAAAGAAAAATAACGTGGTCCCTGCCTCCGCGGTACAAGCAGCGGGGGACAGATGTTTCGTCGCTGTTCTGTTGCGGTGTCTGCGTGCGGATCCTAAAGACGATCTGTGATTGGGAAAGAAGCTTAATGGTGATACTAGTACTGCGATGGGGGCAGAGCCTGTGTGCGATGCCAGAGGCCTCCCCTTTCCAGGCTCCAAGCAGCCCAGTCTCCTCCTGTAGGTGCCCAGTGAAAAATCCCGTTGTTAGAGTTGTAAGATTTGTGTGAGCTGAAAGCTACTGGTTTTCGGTTCCTGAAGGCTTGTAAACAGGGGATGCTGCGGCTCCATTTATATTTAAAGTTTAACTTCCTTTGCTTAGTTTTTAAAGAAAATGCCGTGTGTAGTACGGTTTGAGCATGTGATTTTTCAAAGTTATTTTTAACATTTTTAAGCAAGGGTGTTCTGCGAGTCTGTCACTTCATGCTGAGAGAACGTGATTAGACATAGCGTTGGTAAAAATGTTTTATTCATTAGAAATGTCAGTGAGTTGTCTGCTGAAAATATTTATTTTCCAGACCTTGCAACAAGACCTTGCCTAATAAGTTGGACGTTGTTTTTGTCCCCAGCTAGCGCTTTTGTTTTGTTTCCTGTTAGAGCTTTCCTCCTTTAGCTGAGGGCAGAAGGAATTGTAGCGGTTGGGGGTGATGAGCGAGCGCCTCGAAGCAAGTCACTTCTCACCTTTTATTGTTGGCTTGGCGGTTTTCAGTTCATGTTAGCACAATGTTTTGCATGTCTACCTCTCTTCTGGTCCCCAAACGGAGGAGAGGAGGAATTTGTTACTGCTGAGGCTGGCTGTTTGGGGGAGGAAAAAAAAATAGTGAGAAATGTATTATGGCGCTTGTGTGATGTATTAGGCTTGGAATTATAAATTTACTGAAAGCAGACTCTGTCTCTCGAGGTCTGAATTATTCTTGGTTATACCAAACAAATTCCCGCACTGCTGCTATTGGCACCCATACCGCAAAAGGCCAAGAGGAGAGACCGAATGGTACATCCTGTCTGTAGAAATGTGTTAGTCAAGCCTAGGTTTATTAAGTTATACCTTTAATAAAACTTTATTTCAGTTAGAGCATTATTAATAGCTTGCATAAGTTTTGATGAAGCAGATTTCTGTGCATGATGGATTGCTTGGGGCTGTAAAACGCACTGATTCTAATATGAGCATTAGGGTATGTTTTGGGGATGAGAACTTAATTCTTGAAATTAAAAAAAATAATAATACATTGGTGAAAATAGGTGCTTGGAGTAGACTGTGAATACAGATAGCTTCTGTCCTTAAGCAATATCGACAGAGAGCATCTCCCCCCGAGTAGCGTTTAGTTAATGGTGTTAAGCACTTGAGGTTCTGTTACATTTTAAAAGAGCACTATTTGCAGTTCAAGTGTTTTAGCTCAAAAATATTTCGAATAGTTGGTTTTAACAAGATTTCAAACTAAATTATTTCAAAGGACATCTGTGGGCATAGGAAAATTTTCCTGGGGGAAAAGATTACTAGCATAGTTGTGAGGCATGTTAGAGTTAGAAACTTGAGATGATTGAAATATTGAAACTTTCTTCAGAAAGGCTAAAGCCCCCTTCAGTAAGAGGAAAAGTTACGTACGGATAACAAATTTTTCATGAACTTTTTTGAAGGGAAAGTGCTAGAGGAGGAGAGGATTTCTTAAGACCTTTAATAGAACAGAGTGTATGCGTAGACTTTTTGTCATGGTGTAGATACATAATTTACAGGCACGTGTGGACTCTAAGGAGCAAAGAGCCCTTAGTTGAAGGAGAAAATATTCTGATAGACACCAAGCTATTTCTAAGGTGTTCAGGGAATTGTTATTACAAGCAGTGATAGTTCTTACGCTATATTGTACATGTTAAAATATTTTAACTAGATGATGTGTTTTTTGTTCCAAAAAAAAAAAAAAAAGGCAGAGAAAGCTGAAACAATCCATCTCTTCTGGTTTTTGTTTTGCAGGGTCCGTTGTGAGAACCTTCACTCCTTTCCACTTTCTGGTGGAGCCGATGGACGCTCTGTCAGTCCGCGGCGCTTCTGTTATCATGAACTGCTCAGCCTATTGCGAAACTTCGCCAAAAATTGAATGGAAAAAAGATGGGACTTTTCTCAACTTGGCGTCCGATGACCGGCGCCAGTTGCTACCAGATGGATCTTTATTAATAAACAGTGTGGTGCATTCCAAACATAATAAACCCGATGAAGGATATTATCAGTGTGTGGCAACCGTGGATAGCCTGGGGACCATCGTAAGCAGAACAGCAAAGCTCACAGTAGCGGGTAAGTCTTTTTTTAAAATTATTATTTATTTTTATTTTATAGCTAACAGCATGATGATGTCATAGATATATTCTCTTTCCTTGCAAAAAGAGGAGGGAACTTTGAGAGAGGAGAAAATACTTTCATCACTTTTCAGCAGAACTGGGGCTGTATCTCTGCTAGCTGAAAGTTGGCATATATTCTGTGCATCTAAGTGGTTTAATGTATGGGTGGTTTAATTTTTATGGAAATGCTGAAGATAATCCTCTCATCTTATTTTTCCTTAAGTGAAAGGAAAGAATAATATCAGGTACATGAAATTACAGTAACGGGCTATCAAAGCTTAAAAAGAAGATATACATGGCAGGGTTTTACTTTGTGTATATAAAGCCTTAAAAACTTAGTTTCTCCGGCTGCTTATATGTTGAGATTTATCTGCTCTATATGCCATGAAAAATTTTGGGAGCTTCTAAAAACTAGAGATGTGCACCAACTTTCTAATTTTTTTTAGGGATTCTAGACAAAGCAG